TGAGATATTCAAATATTCTGTCCGACTCAACGAGTTGAAAATTTAAATTATTTCCTCTGCAAAGATGAAGTTAAATTAAAGCTAGAAAAATTAAAAAAAATTTTTTAGGGGAAAGTACTTTCACCGAGAAGCTGATTTTAGAAACACCTGTCTTCTCCTTCGATGGTGAGTTAATTCCGTGGCAGAATCTTCCACGTCTCACGGTAACAGTTATGCAAGATCAGACATCGATCTTCCAACCAGACGAGATGATAAACTTCCTTCACATCACCATCGAGAGTATATACAATCTTCCAGAAATTTTCACGGAGGATTTTCATTACAAAGCTGGCGCGATAGCGTATATCGATAATGAGGTATTTACTTTACATGACGAAAATTGTATTGACATTTTTCCATTGCATTCGTTTATTTTACAAACAAAGTACTTAATCAAACGATGATTTCAAGTAAAGATCTATATTACATTTGATCGAAATTGAGTTGACAATTTGGTGTGATTCCACAGTCTCTGAAGATTGTTCTAGTTCACACGTGCTTACAAAGATCGATGTAAAAGAAGAGTACTTTACGTATGTTGAAACTTATCGAAGAAGTATATAATTTTAAACCACGTTAGTTAGGAATATAATAAATGTAATATAGACCTTATTCAATTGACAAAAAATTATAAGCATTAAAAAATATAAATATTTTAAAAAATGATATTATGATGTGTATGTTGTTAAGAAAGAAATTATAAATAAATATCTGTATAGTTACCTCTATGTTTTGTTCCAGGTTCCTGAAAAAATAATTTTCGACCAAGGTATGTGGGTAAAATATCGCGACGTCGAGAGGACAAAACGGTGGAACAGTTTACGCCACATAGAAAATCGAGCACAATTGTCTAAGTACAAATTGGACTGCGATTTTATGGGAGTGAAAAATGAATTTAGCAAGCAGTTTGATTTAACGGTATCAGAAGATAAAATTATGTACTTTATAATGAACTTCTATCAATACAAGTATACATATGCCGCGACGCTATTTATACTGATATTTATATTTTTGTTTATAATAATTTTATTTATGTTATTTCAATAATAATAGGAATCATTGCACATACTTTGTGCATATGCTACAGTAAATGATCAATGAATATGCATATATTATAAAATATTTAGTTAAAAAATGAATTACACCCTCGCGTATTTACTAAACTTACTTTTGCAAAATATTAACTATTATAATTGTTATTCACTTTTTAGAAAAAAATGTGCGAAGATATACCACGGGTCGAGTGGAATTCTTTGAATCGATGCATCATATGGGAGGGAGGAATCGAAGCGATGAAGAATCATATTAGAAAGTAATAAATATTGATATATATTGACGTATTGTTATATTACCACGGAGAGGATATTAATCAAGAATGTGTTTACTTCAAAGACACAAATTTTGGCCATTTCAATTTGAAGTAACGGCAACAGGTCCGCCAACAAAATCGAAAAGCATTTCATCATCCACAACACAATTGTATCAGTGTTACGTCGATGTTTCTGAACTTCTTTTCCCAGGAAGTAAAATCCTTGCATTCTGCAATATATAAACATTGTTACTGAACAATTATTGATATATTGAAAATTATGTTTATGTAGGAAGAAGCTGTCGTATCGTGGGACAATTGTATAAATTCAACTCGATGGAAAACATTCAAACAATGGACAATATATTTAGTTCAGAATCACAACGCAAAGAAGTGAAGACAGAGAAAGACAAAAAAAATAGATCATCCAAAGTAAAATATTTCGGTATCTCAATGTTTAAATATTTCAATGCAGCAGTGTCTTCCTTATCCGAAGAATTTTGTAACATAATACAAATTACTATAATCGTCTGTGATTCTGCGACTGTGATTTGAAGATTAATTTCTTAATAAATCAATTTATTATTTAGAAGTGGTAAATTAGTCGTAGGTATAATTTTCTTGCAGAATAAAATAGCAAACCAAGATAACAAGAATGTGTCCCGTGTCGAAACAAAAAAATCTGAAGCATAAAAAAAATATAGTTAAATATTCCTTAAGAATTTTGTTAAATATTCTTGATCTCCATTTAATATTGCTTTATTATCTGTAAATTGTATTAACCATATACTTCTGTACCTATTATTTTCTAATGTGGAAAGCTATATTGTATTAATAAGTATTACACTGACAGAGAAATATTTTTTCTTAATTAATTTAATACATTTTAATTTTAGAGAACGCAATCGATTCAATCGGAAACTGAAACAACACAACAAATAAGTGAGCCAATTACTACAGAAAATGGAGAACCAACAATCGTAGTGATTGAAATAGAACTTTATAAACCTCTGATCGCTTGCAGAATCGAAACGGATTTCACGAACTTGTAAGTGTCTTTAAATCTTTACCTAAATCTTTGTTTTTCATTCTATCAGAAGTTTCTTCACTTCAGAAAAAAAAAAAAAATTAACACATTGTTTATAATTGTTTTAGAATAAATGAAATGATACCTAAAGTAAAAGGTGAACAATCTTATGTGTATTCCGGTGATGTAGCGGAAACACAGTACATACATTGTATTCAAAAATTAGCCGAAGTCCTCACCGAATGTTACCGAGTATGAAAAATATATATTTACGAATTTTATATATTAAAATATAGATATGTATTCTATATATAATTATTATGTTAATTTTTTTTAAATTATTTAATAAATTAATATAATTATTTTTTTCATTTTCAACAACATAAACTTCTTCTACACGTTCCATGTAAAACGAAACTTAGGTGTATATACTCTAATATGTATCTATTCTTGAATTATTGAATTTTCATGTTATTTTAAGCTAGGATTTTCGTGAAGAAAATAAAAGAACAGATACTAAAGAGGGAAAACAGCGAGAAAAATATTACTTCGGTCCAGAATCGGTAATTGTGTAATCTGAAAATAATGATTTGACATTAAATAAAACGTTTTTGTATTTCAGGACGAATTAACGTGCTTCACGCAATATCTTTATAAAACTGGAGTATACTTAACTGTGCGCAATACTTTAAGAATGAAAATTCCTCTCCTCTTAGATCAAAAATTCAAAATGCCTGAAAGTTTTGTCGATTCAAAAAAGTCTCACGTACGTATATTTTTTTATACTTTTCTCTGAAAATATTTTTAAAAAAAATATTAATTTTATATCAAATTTAAATTGAATTTTATTTCAGTAACTTCCATATTTCTCCCTGACTGTAAGAAAAATTTTAACTAGTTTTTTTTCTAAATAATCACATTAAATTCCACAGAATTTTATTGCCTCCATATATACATACTTAGTGGAACAAATGCATCTTGCCATAAACCAAATGGTCGAATGTCGATTTACACAAGGTACAGAGAAAGATCTAGACCTAAAGCTAATGTACTTCTATGCTGAAGAAGCTTACGAGCTTGAAGATATGGAAACTGCTAGGGAATATTACACAAAAGTAAGCTACATTTCTTACTTGTAATACAGGTAGTTACACAATTTCAATAGAACGAACAAATCTTCTCAAACGCTTTTAATATCTAAAATAGTAATTATCTATAATGGTAATTATGTTCTCAGGCAATAGCATCGAACAAAACTGATCCGCATCCTTGGACGCGGTATGCGATATTTCTAAAGAAAATAGGCGACATCGAACGGGCAAAGGAATGTTGTTTAGAAGCGATCAGTTTAAAACATCAATATACAATTGCGTATGTAAAAATTCCATTATCCATTAAAATTCATTCACATTTCTATGAACATAATCTGATCGCATGCGGACGCTTCAGTCTGATAAGTCTTCATCATTTAAAATCGAACACATCCACTTAAATCTTAGCCACGTTCTTTCGATTATTTTCGAAACTCACACATATTTCCCTAAAATTAAAAAATCGAATTTAAACAAAATATCGTGAAAAAATTCGTATTAGTACGATCGTTCGATTAAATCTTGTTAAAACATTATAATGAATGTAAAATTGAAATGCAAAATTTTTAAGAACCGTTAATAAACAAACTTAATATTTAATTTTACATAATCGTTTTAAGATTACGAGTCTGTTTTAATAATGTAATTACAAATTTTATTAATTATAACGATTTCAGATTGTTAGTCTACGGGATGATCCTCTTCGAGAATAAAGAATACAAAGAAGCCGAGATATTTCTAAGAGCCATTACTTATCTGCAGCCACGATTCTTTGAGGCCTGGGCTATTTTGCATCTCTTTTTCATACGAATAGAATACTATCCAGGTTAAATAAAAAAAAGTCTTTATTCTTCTTATTAACAAAATTGAAGTAACGAGAATCAAAAATATATAAACAACTAAAAATGTATGTGATATTGTTTAGGGATAGATCTTGCGCTTCGTATAGCAAAGAAATGCATGCAAGATAAATCTCGTACAATAATATTAGATCAAGAACCGCTTTCTTGGACCATGATTCACTGTCCTCAAGATAATGTGCACATAATGGTTGCAATATTTCTATTAAAGTTACACTTTTGTGAGGTAAACAATTTTTCAATATAAGGATCATGATCTTGTTGTTATATTTTATTACTTGCAAACATAATGAAATTAAGTAAATAAAGAGTAATAATTTTCATACTATATATATATATATATTATAATATATAATATTTGTTTCAGTTTGCAGGGCTCGCGTTAGCAGAGGAGATGTCAAATTCCAATCGGTCAATCCACGTTCTGTATTATATGGCAGTGGAACATTATCTGTCTGGCAGATATGAAAATGCGTTATCTCACCTAGAAGAAATTCGGTGCGATTATGGAATGGTTAACGCCTTTGAATTATCAAATAAGAAAAGTCAAATTGATATGAGTTTACAAACGAAATAAAACGTCTAATAACGTCTATAGCAGATCTGTTAATATCTCTTAATCTATCTATTTAGGATTATTCGGTCAGTAGTCTAATGGGCCATTGTTACTTTAAAATAAAAGACACCGAGAAAGCAATAGAATGCTATGAATTTGCACGTATACTCTTTGACAGACCTGATAATCTGCATTTAGTGGAGATTAGGTAATAAGAGCAATGGTCTTCTAATGAATCAATATTTTTAATGTAATGAATTTTAAGTAATCACAAGTTATCTTCTTCAAATAATACCAGACTGGGATATCATTATTACGACATTCGTGATTACGATCGCGCGAAAAGGATTTTTCTGAGCGCATGTAAATCTTCACCAACTTGCCTAACTTGGCTAGGAGTTGGTATCAATTGTTACGAGGTAAAAAGCTTCAATCAATTGCTTTGATATTATAGAAGACAACATAATTACCTGAGAGATGATTACTTATGAATAATGTTAATGTGCCTTAAAAATTTTCTGATAATTTTACCTTCAACTGTTTTTGCTCATTTTAATTTATTTCTTTCTTCAATCGTTCCAGACAAAACAGTTCCACGAAGCAGAAATATCTTTATCCGAAGCAAATAGGATTAACAATCAAAATTCGGATGTATGGGGCTACCTGTGCCTTTTAAATATGACGCTTGGAAGATACGATGAGTTTGCACAGTGTTATGCGGAACTGATCAAAGTGAATTTGTATTTTGTATTTTGTATTTTGATATAAATTTTTTTTTTTTTATTTAGCAAGGTAGGTCTCGTCCTGTGTATAGTATAAAACTCTTGACCATTTATAAATATTTATAATGATAATTCCATGGTACTTCCAAAATACACAACCAGTATTAAATCTTCTAACACCCTACATAAATGAATGAACAATGAAGAACATCATCCAAAACTTAGCACCCTAGTTTTTAAAAATTTTAACCATTCAATATTTTTAAAAAATGAAATAAGTAGAGAACATGTTTCGATACTAAAAACTAAATTGGTTCTTACTACTATTTTTAAGGAATTTCATTATAATTCAAATTTTAACTATAACTATAACTATAACTATAACTATAAACACATTTTCATTTTGACAAATTTGTTAATTAGTATAATACACGTGACTAAGGGAAAAAAGACACCAATATTTTACTAACAATTTTTATTTTATTTTTTTTTTTTAAGTATCAGAATAATCTTAAAGATAAAAAACTGTGGTTGAGAATAACGAACCTGATGAAGGCTTTAGATTATGCACCACCAAATTTAACACAAACTGACAAACTTGTCGAGGATTATAACGCAGAGGGACAATTTGAAAACTAATGGCACCTAAACGAAATAAAAAAGAATGCAAGAACTCGTTGAAGAAGGGATTATAATGGCACTTATTTTTAGTCAATGAAAATAATATAATTAAAGAAACGAATACAATTTATAAGAAGTAACATACTAAAAATATTTTAAATACAATTTTGATCATTACAATTTAAAAAATTTGAATTAATCTTTTAATTTATTTGAAACTTGTTAATTAAAAATAAACATATCTATATTTTCTACCTGATTAATAATGTAATAAACAAACTCATACATTTTACAAGTCATTTCCCTTTTTGTTATTAAAAATTTAATTCTATTGCTTTTTTTTTCATTTTATTTAATATTTAAATCTCAAATCTTTCAGCCAATTTATGTCACAAAAGATAAAACATAAAGCAAGCATGTAACAAAATTATATAATAATAAAAAAAAGAAACGTGCAATAAATAATTTTTTAGTAAATATATGCAAATAAATTATATAAACTATAAAGTAACATAACATTGCTTGACTAAAGAGAAATAAATATACATAGCCTATCTTTTAATATTATAATATTTAGAATATTATAAACGATTGTTTTCTGTTTTCTTTTTCTCTTCTTTCTAAATCAACAGCTCTCGAAATATTTAAGTATACAACTTTTTTTTTCTCTGTATACATATATATCAATCTCCAATATACAACTAATTGCTATAGCCAATTATAAAAATATTATTCGAGCGCAACATCTGAACAGATATCAATATTCTATTGTCGTAGAATTTGATATAAAATATCAAGAAATACGAATTATGGGTTTGTTGATTTCTATGTATTATAAAAGCACTGTGTGAACTTTTAGTGCAATCCTTTGCGATTTTTTATTATTTTTCTTTTTTAATAAAATGAAAATAAAAATTGGATATTTAACTACAATAATATTAATCTTTATTTTTTTTATGATACTATGATATTAAAAAGTAAAAAAAAAAGAAAGAAATAAATAAAAAAGAAAAGAAAAATGTATTTTTTGTCCAGAACCTGATAATAACCAATGTCTGATGAATATCTAGCAAATTTTACTAAAAATTAATACATTATCCAAAATATTTCAAAGAAAACTCTCTTCTCTTAATAATCTAATAATTAATGCAAAAAATAATCAAATGTAAAGCCACAAAGGATTCGTTTAAATAACATTATCAGTTGTGCGCAAATAGTATCATTTAGTCATAATAATGATTCGAAAATGGGTTACTTCAAAAAATGTCTTTCAGGAAAAATTTCAAAACATTAACGTTTTCTAACATTGACAAACCAATCAGTTAATCTCTTAACGCACCAATTAAAAATTAAAAAGCGGTCGTTTTTCCACCAATTTTTTTATCCTCTATTTTCTCAAAATACAAAAGAACATTAACAGATCTTGAAAAAAAAAAAAAAAACACAAAAAAATGTTTTATACTAAAAAGACTAAGGTAATTGAACCCGGCCAACAAAAAAGAACTTGAAAAGAATCAAAAAAATATTAAAAAAATAAGCTTTTAGTCTAAATTTACGACGGTATAGTAAATTTTAAAACACGGAATGACACAAAGAGGAATGTCACATTCAGCAAACATAGAAAACCAAAACTGCAGGTCTTATTAGTTAACTCGAGCACGCGGAAAAAAGTCATTTTCTTATACCGACTTAATTCGAGTGCGTTAAGAGATTAAATAACTTGCTTTTATTATCATGAAACATTTTAAAATCATAAACTGAAAATTAATAATCTAATTTCTAACGAGTAAAAGAAACTTGCAATAGTTAGCATTTTCATAAAATTTGTTGCTAATTATACGTCAACACAATATTTTTAATCATAATGAGCATTAGAAATGTTTCTAATATCAAAATGTACCGGTGTAACTACCGTTACATGTATTATGAAGAATTGGTACTGTATTTATTGCAATGTTTTATTCTCCTCAGTCATTTCTTTTTCATCCGTTTTCTCAATTTTCTCCATAATTTCTCCTACTGAATTTTCATCCACGTTTACTGAATTCTTAGATTTTATCTCACAAGAATTCATATTCTCAGAATTTTTATCAGATGATTCACTCTGATTTTCTAGAACAAGATCTGTTTCTTTTTCTAAATTTAACGTTTCTTTCTGTACTAATTTTTCTTGTACTAATTCATTATTGCATACCAATTGATTATTAGTTTCTATCACAGAATGTGTTTTATTCTCCAACAAAGAAACAGAATTATTTACTTCCTCTATACTTCGTTGTACCGTAATTTCACCTTTGATATTATCACAGTCGTCATTTATAAACTGTTTTATAATTTGTTTTGATGATTGTTGATCATCTTTATGCAAAAGAGTTGTATTTTTCTCAACATTATTTAATACTTCGTCACTTTCATTTGTCATAAGTTCCTCATTAGACCGAATATTATTTGGAACTGATACCTCGGAAGACATGTTACTATTTTTTTGCAAATCTTCTTCTGTTATATTATTCACAAAAGAATCTGAACACTCGTTCTTATTCTCCATACTATTTTTATTCAAATCACGTTTTGCGATATAGTCAGAATTATCTATGTTTGATATTGAAGTCAAGGAAATTTCTTCAATTTCTGCTTCTGTCGTTGACAATATTTCGCTTATAATCTCATTCTCAACATTTGATTGCACATTTTCCATATTGGATGTTTCATTGGTTTCAGATGTAATTTCCTGTAATGTGTTACTATTCTTTGCTACATCATGTTCAATGTTCTGTTCTAAATTTTGTTTTGTATTATGTTCAATATTCGGTTCACTATCTTGTTCAAGTTTTACTTCATCAGAACGCTCGCGTTTCTGTGAAACATTCATACTTGAAGAATCAGGTTTTGTTATTTTCATATTTCCCCTTGAAGATTTTGATGATTTAATAGAATGAGATTTTTGTTGATCCTTTTGCGTGTAAGATTTAAATTCATTATCATAATGTTTATATGAATTTCCATCGCAATCTTCCTTTTTTATATCTTTTTTCGGATGGTATTGATATTTTGCCTCGTTCTCCTTCTTCTTTTGTGAATGAGATCTCTTCAAATTAGAAAATTTTTGATTATTAAAATAAGTTCCCTTTGACTTATCCTCAAACGATTTTTGTCGGAAGAAAGATTCACTTTCAGACAAAGGAGCATCAATATCTGAATGACTGTATGTTACACGTGTTCTTTGTCGTGGTCCGACTCTTCCAGTTCCAGCTATGCTTGGTGAATTCACTAAAATTTATATTTATATTTAAGTTTAGATTTTTATTTCATATTAAATTTATATTTATCGTACAAAAGTCAAATATACATAAATTCTTTATGTACCTTTAACACTCATCACTGGTCCTTTTGTCACACTGTTTTGATTAACTGTAACCTTGATACTCTTATCAGTTGCAATAACAGTTCTTTCTTCAGAAGTTGGAGAAACAGGAGTTTTCGCTGATACTGCTGTATTATTTCTGTGTTGATCATACGTATTATGTGATCGATTTTCGTAGTTGCTATAAAAATTTTTTGTAGAACCACGATGAGGACGATGATTTCCAGCGCGAGTGTAATTGACATATTCATTATCTAAAAACAATAAGTTCTATCAATATCAACTATGCAACTTTATTCAGTATGAAACTTTGACAATAAAAACAGGTAAAACGTACTATTAACATAATATTTCCGATCGGAATCTTTATGATCCTTTTTCGTAAAATCTCCCAACGTAGGCCTCGATGATTTCTTTACTATATCATCGATAATATGGACCTATAATTTTTATTATTAATAACAACTTATCAATCTAATACATTTCTATTCTTAAAGTATATATTATCAGCTAAAAAAAAAGTATTTATTACTTTATCATTATCCCATTCTCGACGCCAATTCCCTTCTGCAGTTCTTTGTCTGCTAATACGATCCTCATCAATGCGATTCCTTTCTGCTCTCCAGGCATCATATCCTGGTTGAGATTCATCTCTATAATTTCCTTTGTTTGGTTTATTATCCTGTATGTAAAAATGAAAACTTTTATATTTGATATAATTAATTAAAGTTACGAATATAACGTTATTACATACTTTGTGGTTACTCTCTTTACCACTAACTTTTTTTCTGAAACTACCTCTTGTCGCTTTATGATGAGATCTATTTCCACTATTCTCTCTTGTATAATCTACATTAGGTTCTTCTCTTTCAGAATCTGCCAGAAAGTTGTATTTAGGATCTGGTGGTGGTCCTTCTCCCTAAATAATATTTCATTTTTATAATTTATAAACAAATATGCGCATACACACACGTATTACCCTAACAAAGAATAAATTCTATTACATACTTGAGCAAAAGAATGAATTTTTTTCCCTTCCCCGGCATGGGATTGCAATGTATATTCATGTTTTTCTTTGGTTGGTTTCGATTTGGTTTTAGGAGGATTCGAAAACTCTGGTGGTTCTTTCCTCTCTGGCCAATCTGTTGATGGTACCATTTGTACTAAAGCATTTAATTTTGCTGCATTTTTTTTATCTTCTTCAACTTCCTAACAGAATAAAAATGATTCGTAAAACATATAAGTATGTATAAATGAAAGTTTTTATCATACAATAATATATGTACCTCATATCGTCTTCTAATCTCTTCATTTTGTTGCCGAATTTTATTGATCTTTTCTTCAAGTGCACTAGATGCCATCTAAAATGTTATTTAAAGAAAAATCAAAATATTTAGAAACTTTTCATTTGTTAATCTCATTTACATTTTACAACTGATAGAATTATCTATATACATTTCATAAATTCCAAATTCCAAATATCTATACTATTTCTCACTTTCTCTTTTCTCCAAATAAAAATAGCATTCTTTAATATTTTATTTTAAATCAAAATTAATTTGTATATATTTATACAAATTTACATAGAAATTCATCTTGAAACTATCTTAAGTTTGTACAAAATAAAAATTACACAAAGAACAGTTGTTTATCAGTTTAACAAATTAACTGTAATAAGTTAAGCACTTTAAATATTACAATTGATACTTGTGTCACGTTTCGTTGCTCTACTTCAAAAGAAACTTCGCTTCTGAATTTCTCATTCACGAAGTAAATATCACGATCGATCAAACGCAATTTATCATACGGAGATTTGTATTTTACATTGCAATTTATAAAAAAATGCAAACTTTATCATCAAAAAGAAAGATTAATCATATATTAATTAATAGTTACAATTCATCGTATTGACCAAAAACTTTTAACTCCAACGCTTAAAGTTTAAAACCGACTTAAAATCTTCTCCATTAACATTTTTTCAACTTTTTCAAAAGTGAATCTGTTATATATAAGAACATTTATTCTCATCGACTTATATAAATTAAAGAAATCTAGCGATCGAGAAGATTCCTCCGTAAGGTCGGCATATTAATAAAACTGTAATTTACACAAAAATATAGGTTATATGAATGTGCAATCGCTATCTCTCTAAAATGCAAAACTAAAACGAGCCTAACATATAACACTGTAATAACAATACACGTTTAAAAGAATGAAAATAGGACATACGGTTGCAAGTAGCTGCAAACAGTATCGGGAGAACAAAAATTAGAACATCACGAAGGAGAGTGTTACGTTGTTTCAATTAAAAATCAGCCACATATGTCACTGTTGAGTGTTGAGCACTATCCTTATTTTTCGCA